ATTCTTGCGATGCTTCTTGGCTTTTCAAAGTGACTTCAGATCTGATACCTTTACAGGATCCCTACCTAGAGAGTGGGAGCATTATAATTACCTCTCGTGGCCTAGGCCACCAAGGGAGGTAGACAGTGCCAGCCTTAAGCTCCTGCCCTTGGTCCAGACCCTGCCTGAGTCCTCGGGTTCTGGGCCTAGGCCAGTGCCTGGCAGCAGATGCTGGGGACAGGAAAAGGCCAGACCATGGCAATTTGAGGTTGGCTTCTGTGAAAGGCCTGGGATGGAAAAAGGAAACTGTTCATTCAGCAGCCCAGGGCCAGCAGAAAGAGAGGCAGAGAAGGTTCAAATCAAGGGAGAAATGCCGTTAGGAGGGAGGTGCTTGAGGCCAGGGGAGGCCCTGAGAGCTCAGTGCAAGTGAACAGCATGGTACCCAGGTTTCTGGCCCTCAGAGCAGAGTCCTCTGGGCTGGGAGGGGGCCTTACCACTAGGCCACTCTGGGGGTCTGTAATGTCCGTGCTCATATCTTAGGGCCTCCTGAGCCCAGATCCATAGGTCCTCCTCCTCCGCAGTCCAGCATCTCCCGCCTGAAAGTGGCTCTCAGCAGGTGGTCCTGCAGGGTAACAGGAGTTGCAGACTGCCTCTGCCCCTAGCCACTGCAGGACGGCACCTCCTCCTACCCCAAGGCATCAAAGAACCAGAGGCTGGCCATGGGCCACGCAGCCTGCCTGCTCTTATTCAATGTGTGCCTGTTGGGATGACTTTGGGCAGGGCTGAGGAGCCCCCCTCCCCAAGCTAATCCTTGCCAGCCCTCCTCGCCCACTCCCCTGCCTGTTCCCGCACACCAAGGGTATGTCTTTTGGAAAGTCCAAAGCTCCAAATGGGTGGACATATGGTGGTTTCATCATCCTGCTTTTTCTTCCAAAAAAACCTTTCCCGTGCTGCTCCAACAAGCCACAGGGGCTCCCACGCCCCATGTCGGCTGCAGCCCCATGTGCTTTTGCAATTATCCGTCCCTCTGGGTGCACAGGAAGCCAGGCCCTGAGCCCCCTTGGCCACCACCCTCTGACCCCTGGGCGCCGCTGAGTCTGTGAGCTGCTTCAGGGAAGGGTGGGTCCAGCCTGTTTTGTTCTGGGTGTTGGGTGGGGCGCCACGCTGCCAGTACCTACACTTACCCTGCCCTAACCAGCCATCCTGGGTGGTCAGCAAAGGAGACCGCTTAAGGTGAGCATCCTTGGGGCTCTGCCTCCATGAAGTTGGGGCCACGCTCTGTGTCTGGGGTTTGAGGATACAGGTTCAGGAGGGGAGAGGACTGGTTAGATGCCAGTAAGAGGCAGAGCTGGGACTCGAACTCAGGGCCTTCTGCATGCTGCCCAAATGCGTGCTCTGAACACAGAAGGGTAGGAATGGTGGCTGAGCATCCTAACCCCTCTCACCAGCCTGATGGCCTTGGGCAAGTCCTATGACCAGCCCATCTGAGGGAAGAGCAGGGCACTGGGTTGGACCTATGGTTACTGTCTAGTCCCGAACAGAATTGCCTGTTCTGAACAAGATCTTAAGCAGAACATCAATACACAAAGCAAAGCGGCTACGGAGGTCCAGAGGCAGTGGGTGGGTCCTTTGCCTCCTAGATTCTGCAAGGCGCCACCTGGGTGGGACACCCAGGGCAGATTGCCTGAAGGCCTCTTACTCCAGGTGCTCTGGGAGTTGGGTGGAAAATATCCCTCCCTTGAGCCGGCCCAGCCTCTAAAGAGGAGGCCTCTTATCCAGGTCCTGGCTGGCTTGGAATGTGGGGAGTGGGGTCAGGAGTGAATGCTAACCCTCAAGGTAGACCACATCTTTTTCCACATCAACTGGCCTTTTGGAACCCTCATCATGGCCTGAAGAACACCCCCAACCTGAAAGAACCAATCAGTGGCACGAGCCCCAGGGCAGCAGTGGGGGTCCACACCTGCCTCAGCCCCTCAAGCCTCAGCTCAGTGGGTGCTTTCCAGTGCAGCCCGAGAGGGGTCACAGCTCCTCCACCCCCAGACTAAGGGAGTCGGTGCTAAGAGTGGACAAGCAAACGTGCCAGAAAGCCCAAGTGGAGCCTGCTCTGGGGAGGAGGCAGTGTTTCCCTAACTCAAACCCCGCGAGAACTCTTGGGTGCCGTTTCCGCTGATGCTCTCACTGGAACAGGCAGGTCCAGGCTGCTGACAGCCTTTATCTTCAATGTGGGCTTTTAGAACCTGAGCACAACTGTAGTCTGGGGCTGGGAGGGGCTGGGCTAGGGGATCTGTAAGTTGTTTTTGTTTTTGTTTTGAGAGTTTTTTGCTATAGGGTGCTTATGCTAGCCCAATCACCCCCAGGGGGGATGGCCATGTCGCAATCCCTTCTTCTCCATTCTCCTCTTGGGATCTTGGGCATGCACGCACACGCGCCCAGCGTGAGTTTAGGCCACCAGGTTCAGGACTCGAACTGCAGTTGAGTACATGGGAGTCCAGCGACATAGCCATTACACCAATTGCTGGTCCCAGGGATCTGTAAGGTTTGATTTCCCTTTTTGAAAAAAAAAAAAAATTGCTATAGGGTGCATGTCCTTACTAGGCAGAGAGAAAGAAAGAAATCACCCCCTGGGGGGATGGCCATGCCACAATCCCTTCTCCTCCAGTCTCCTCTAGGGATTTGGGGCGTGCTCGTACATGCTTCACGTTTCCAAGCCACTGGGTTCGAGATTCGAACTTTGCACTTGGCCACGTGGGATCCAGCAGCTCCACCCAGCACACCACCAGTTTGCCTGGTTTTCCTCTTGAGGGTGCTTGAGATGAGAAACACGTTGGAGGGGCCAGCAGGTGGCATGGTGGCTGAGGCGCTGGATTCCCACATGACTGACAGAGGTTTGAATCCTGGACCTAGAGGCTTACTTTCTGACTCTCTCTCTCTCTCTGGTCAAGTTAAAAAAAATAATAGGGGCAACAGTTGGCGTTCTGGTTAAGGGCACTGGACTCCCACATAACTAAGGTTCGAGTCCTGGACCTGGCAGCTTGCTTTCTCACTTTTCTCTCACTCTGTCCCTCTCTGGTCAAATTTAAATAAATAAACAAAATAAAATAAAGTTAAATAAAAGAATTTTTAAAAAATGATGATGATAATTAAAATTAAATAGGGCTGGCAGGTGGCATGGTGGTCGAGGCACTGGACTTCCATATGACTGACCATGGTTCATGCCCTGGACCTGGTGTCTTGCTTTCTCACTTTCCCTCTCTCTGTCTGGTCAAATTAAGAAATAGTAATAGTGATAAATAAAATAATTATTTAAAAAATATAAATAAATCTTGGGACCAGCAGTTAGCGTAATGGCTATGTCGCTGGACTCCCACATAGTCGACCGTGGTTTGCGTCTCGAACCCGGTGGCTTAAAACTCACGCCGGGTACGTGTGCGTGCGTGCCCAAGATCCCGAGAGGAGAATGGAGGAGAAGGGATTGCGGTGTGGCCATCCCCCCGGGGGGTGATTTCTCGCTTTCTGTCTGTCTCTGGCGAGCGCACGTGCCCTATAGCAAAAACAAAACAAAACAAACTCTAAAAATAAATAAATAAATAAACAAATCTTTAAAAAAATATATAATGGATTAGGTCAGCGGTTGGCATAATGGCTGTCACTGAACTCCCATGTAGTCGACCGCAGTTTGAGTTCTAGATCCGGTGGCTTAAACTCATGCCAGGTGTGTGTGTGTGTGTGTGCCCAGGATCCCGAGGGGAGAATGGAGAAGAGATTGAGGCGTGGCCATCCCTCCTGTGGGGCAATTTCTCACTTTCTGTCTCTGGCAAGCCCATGCGCCCTATAGCAAAAACCTGTCCAAAAATAAATACAATGGGAATCAGACTTGCACTGGATAGACCTGGGTTTGAATCTTGTCCAGTAGGAGAGCTATTCATCTCAGTTTCTTCTGTGAAATGGGGGGAGCACTGGGGGCAGTAGGTGGCGTGGTGGTTAAGGGCACTGGACTCCCACATGGCCAACGATGGTTCAAGTACTGAACCTGGCGGCGGCTTGCTTGCTTTCTCTCTCACTCTATCCCTCTCTGGTCGAATTAAAATAAAGTGGAAATAAAATTCTTAAAAAAAAAATAGAAATGGGGGGAGCACTGGCCTCCTTGAGGAGAGAGCTGGTACAGCACAAGGCCTACACTGGTGGCAGCTGAGTGGTACAGGGAGGACGGGTGAGCCCCGCAGCAAGCTGACCCATCCCACCCAGGCACCAGCCGTCACGCCAGTCACTGGCCACACCAGCTGGGCCTGAAGCACAAGATGGGTCCACACACCCTTGGGCACCTGTTTACATCCTGCCATAAGCCTGTCTGGAGCTGCCCACTCTGATTGCACGTCTACACCCTCCCATGGCCCCTTGCTGTCAATTTGTCATCCTTTCCTCTGCTGATAAAAAGTCCCATTTGTGACACCACTGCCCGGCCCCACTCTTAATTGTGCGTTATGTTGCCAGTCTATCTGTTTCGTCTGTCTTCAGAGCACTGTTGCCCTGTCTTTCAACTGCCCTGGGGCGAGCGTGGAGCCAGGCTGGTTCTGGGGCCCAGTAAACCCTTGTTTAATTTACCCTTCCTGATGCCAAGAGCCCCGCGGGCGCCCACCTGTCTGCTCTAAGATGCATGCACACTGCAGGAGATACTAAGAGGACAAGAGGGGTGCTGGCCCGGGGGTGCCCTCCCAGCTGCTCTATCCCCTTCTCTCCCCAGGAAACTACTCTTCCTCAGCTCCTGCCTCACCCCGGGAAGGCAGGGGCTCTGAACCCTTGAGGCACCCCTTCTCCCTACCCACTTGCAGGCCTCACCCTGTAAATACGGGGTGGCAGCTGCCGCACAGCTAAGCACAACCACACAGACGGCCACCTCACCCTGGCAGGTGTGCCGACCTGTCCTGCTGCCACCCTGTCCCCCGCAATGTGTTTCAGCAGGCACTGCGGGGAAGACCTGGGGCTTCTGCTCTGGAAAAGCCAAGTAAGCACCAACAGCCAGCTTCAGCACAATTAAAAGTTCTTTTAATGCAAGTAAAAGAAGTCTCTTAGTCTTTCTTCCCAGAGGTGAGTGGGCAAGCCAGGGCACCTTCAGCAGAGTTCGAGATGGGGACGCCCCTCCTCCGTCTTCACCCAATACTGCATGGAGTGACAGGCAGCTGGGGGTGACACAGCCAGATCCTGGAGACCAGGGCATCAGCAGGGGGCGTGGGCAGGAGAGATCGTGGCCCACTGTGTGATGCCTGACCGGAAGCTCTGCTAGCCTCCCTCCTGCCCAGCAGGGGCTGGCCGCAACTGTGCTCTGCTGCGCTCTGGCAGAGGGGCCGCCTGCTGAATTGGGCACTGCTCCCTGGCTCGGGTTTCTTATTGCTCAGCCTGGGGGCAGGGGTTGTTCTAAGGGCATCCAAGTCACATGCTGCCCTCCTTTGCTCCACAGGAGAGTAAGGAAGACAGGAAGTGAAAGGGGGTGAAAAGAGGGAGGCCGGGTTTGTTGGGGCTCTGCTGTCTGGACACTGGGCCCAGGCCAGAGCGTGGGCTTAGTCCTGCCTGCGTCAGACCAGACCAGGTTCACAAGGTCCCATGCCCACCGAGGGTGGGGAGGGCGGTGCCAGAGCGCCCCAGTGAGGTGAGAGGGTTAGTGCAGGGCAGTTCTCCCTCAGCCAGGAGCAGCAGGAGCTGGCATGTCACCCCCTCCTCAGCCAGGAAACACACCCTGGGGCCTCAGGTGGGGCGGAGGGGGCTCCCCTCTTACTCCACATCTAACAGCTACTAGGTGGAGCTAGGCTGGAGTGTGGAGAAGGGGAGACGGACATCACAGCTTTCGAACAAGTGGTTGGGAAGTTCCTGGAAAAGTTGGTCAAGTATGAAAGGTGTCACTTTACAGGACAAAACTAGCTTATATGTATTTTCCTGGAAGACTTCTCTCACTCAACCCCCCAGAAAGGTTAAGGTAGCGGGGCCTTGCTGCAGTGACTACCGAGCTGGGTGAGATGCCAGCTGTGGGCAGGAGGAACGAGCAGGGCCACCCAGAGGGCATAGGGAGCCCCGAGGGTGGGGAGGCACCAGAACCTGTCCCCCAGAGCAGAGGGAGGGGCCGAGCTGGATGGGGAAGGAAGCCACTGCCCACCTGCCCACCTGCCCGCCTGCCAAGCAGCCCTTGGCTTCCACGAACTAGTGTGCCCGTGCTGTTGGCACAGCCACGGGCCAGCAGCTGCCAGAACAGAGCCCGGGTGCGTCAGCGTCCAGTGAGCTGGTGCCGTGGTCACAGTGGTCAGTCACTGCCCGCGCTGTCTAGCTGGAGCCGGGGCAGGAGGAGAGGCTGGGAGAGGACAGCTGCGTGCATGGGGCTGTCAGACAGGAGGGGCAAGAAAGAACGCTGCCTCTAACGGTATATATTAAAAATATCCATAGTTCTTGTGCACAAAGTTCCATCATCACACACGAGGATCACCCCTGCCTCCCCCGCTGGGCCCAGGAACAGCCTTAAAAGAAAGATGGTGGTTTTTCCTTTTCAAGAGCTGGGGAAACATCCGCTGTCTTTATGGACCTTGAGAAACTGGTGACCCTTCCCCTCCCCCAGTCTCTGCCGCCCGGGCCTCTCCCTGCCCGGCAGACACAAAGCGGGGGTGGCGCGGATGGCGGATGAGGCCGTCACTCGTGCCTCCGCTTAGAGGGTGGGATCAGGTGTGGGGGCAGGTCGGCGGGCAGCTCGTGGCCCTCCAGCTTGACCTTGATGAGGTGGTTGGCCAGGGCGAACTCCTCGTCGTCCAGCAGCCCGTCCTTGTCCACGTCGGCCAGCTTCCAGATCTTCCCCAGCACCGTGTTGGGCAGCTTGGACTTCACCATCTCCTTCTTGGCGTTGGCGCCTGTGATCTTGCCGTTGACGGGCGACAGCGTGTAGAAGATCTCGTCGTAGGTGGGCTTGTCCTTGCCCACCACCCACTCAACATCGTCAATTCCCTCACCGGCCCCTTCGCCGTAGCCATGCCCAAAGGGCCCGTTCATGGTGCCGTCGAAGGCGCCACCCTTCACGGCCTGGGAGGGCATCAGGGACTCCTCCTGGCGCACCATCACCATCAGCCGGGCAATGTCGTTGGCCAGCATGTCGTCCACCGTGTCTAGCAGCTTGGGCTTCAAGGCCTGGAACTTGCTGAAGTCCTGGGTCTGCAGGAGTTCCTGTGAGTGGGGGAGGAAGAAGGAGAAGGGCTGGGGAGGGCAGCTCCTCCCAGGCTCCAGGCAGAGTGGTTAAAATAAGGCTTCACCTGCACAGTGAGCTGGTTACCACTCACCAGCCTGGGCGGCTGAGTTCACCCCTCTGGGCCTGAGCCCTCCGAACAGGAGGTGGCAGCAGCCCCTTCCCTGCAAGGCTGTTAATGAACGGAGGGCGCAGGAGCTGGGCACAGCCCCGCCCTTTCCCGACACTCTGGATGTGTCACCACATCCTCTCCACAGTGCCCCTCCCGACTGGGTCGGCTTCCCTATTCAGGTGGGGTGCTGGTGATGAACCAGCTGCTTCCGTTTTAGGAGGCCCTGCCCTACGGGGCTGGGATTCCCTCCAAGGCCCTGCCCCAGAGTCCGGGACCTGCCCTGCTCCCTGATGGCCACCAGCTCTCGAGCGGCACTGGGGCAGCCTGGGCGGGCCATACCTGCATCTTGCGCAGGCTCGGGAAGTCACCGGGGGAGATCTGATGCTCCCGCTCGATCTTCTGGTAGATTTCTCCCAGGTTGTTCACTAGCTCTTTCTTTTTGCTCTCTTTACCAAAGACGTTGGGCATCTCCTTCTTGAGGGAGCTGATGATGTAGGCATGGACCTGTGGGGGTGGCAGAGGGACGTCAGGGCTTCCCAGAGAGCCTCCAGGACACTGCGGGGTGCCTGCTGTTCACCGCTTAGGAACAGGGAAGTGGAAGAGGTGACTCAGACTCAAAGCCGCTGCCGCCGCCATCCTGGGATCCCACAGGCCTGTACACCACGCCTGTCCAAGGCCCGACTGCTTCCCGCCCGGGGCAGAGACCGAGGCCGACAACAGTGCTTGCTGCGCGTGTCACTGTGCCTGCCCAGGAGCAGTGGCACTAAGCCTGCCCACAGAAGGCCATTTGCCGGGCACCAGGGGCTTCGCTTACTCACCACTCCACCCTCACGGAACAGGGGGCAGCGCTATCATTTAATCTCGTCCCTGTGGGAGGTGTGGAGAGGCTAAAAGGCTTGCCAGGGTGCCCGACTACTAAGTGGAGGACCCAGGATGGCGACAGGACTGCCCTGAGTGGCCCAAAGCCCCATTCTTTGTTTCTCTGCACATCCTGAGGCAGCGCAGGCCGAACAGGGCCCACCGGCCTGTGCAGCGGCAAGGACATGCCAGTGCCGCGGAGAGCTAGCCCACCCCAACGTAGCCAGGTTACATGCAGCCTCGGGGACGACTCTGGGTCAGAAAATCCCCACAGAGGCTTTCCCAGCTATCTCAAGCTTTATCTAAGCTTTAGCACCTTGCTTAGATGTTCGTCAACCAAGGAGGCACAGCCTTCATTCCCCGAGTGGGCGGTAATGTTGGCAACCCTCTGAGTGCGGCCCAGCCAGCAAGGGCTGCAGCCAGCTCTACCACACCAATGCCCTCCGCTCAGCCTAACCTGTCTGCCCTAGGCCAGCTGCCTGGCCACAGACTGCCTGAGGGAAACAGCCCCAGCTCACCCCCACACCTCCACCTGGGTTGGCATCCAGGATTTCCCAGGGATGCCGTGGCAGGCGGGTCAGAGAACCACAATCACCGCTCTGCCTGGCACAGGCCCGTGCCCGTCAACAGTCACTCACTCCAGGAAAAGGAAGAGGTCTTGAAGCTGGTGTGGGACCGAACGGGAACTCGGGGTTTTCCAGGCACAGTGATGCAGTGTGCCCGCAGCCAGGCAGCCACACACCACCACCGGCGACAGGCAAAGCTCCCGAGCCTGCCTGTGCTGCCTGGATGGAAGACGAGGCAGAGCTGGGCAGGGACAGCCTTCTACAGCCCCACAAGGAGATGGGGTCGGTGGGGAACGAGAGGGGAGCTGCCCTTCCCTGCCCACTGGGCGGGGTTCGCCCAAGGCCACCCCTCGGCCCAGCCTCGGTCAGGGTTTTCTCAGGAGCTCCTTTTGCAGAACCAGCTCCACTGACAGCGAGGCTCGAGGTGACGTTTGCAGTAACATTGCAGCCCTCAGCCCTCCAGCCCTGCCTGTCACAACACGTATGGTGACCAGGGCTCACGTGAGATTGCAGATTCAGGCTCAGCAAGGCCAGGTGGGCAGAGAGCCGCAGTTTGGTCAAGTTGCAACGCTGCTGCTCCCCCCCCACCCCCCGGCAGCACTTCAGTAATGGTGGGGACACAGCCAGGGGAAAGGACAAAGGTCAGCTCCTGACAAAGGTCAGCACCCGAGAGCCACCCCACTCTGACTCCAGGCAGCGTGTGTGCTCTGAGCTGCTGTGTTGGGCTGTGGTGGAGTCAGCACCTCCGGGCTATAGGCTGGCAGGAGCGTGAGCCCCACAGGAAGACCTTGCTTGGCCCCGTCACACCCAGGGCGACTGCGTCACCAGCCACAGGCGCCCTCCGCCGTCTGCCCCTGCCTGTCTAGAAACCCTGCTCTTGGAGCTGTTTCAGGGAGATGGAAGATGCATCACTGGCGGGCCGGGGCCCGGGCTTGGCCGGCAGGATGTTCAAGGGCCCAGCTATGACCCAGTCTCCCACGAGCTATGGCCAGAGCCTCGTTTTCAAACAACCAACCCTGCGCTGAAAGAGCCTGCGAGAACGCTGGGCGCCCGCTGCAACACGAGGGCTTGGACTTGGCCATTTCTCCGTTGTCCACATTTCTTGGCTAAATCAAATGCCCTGTCCAGAGGCCCTGCCCGAACCACAGGTAGGACTGTCCCTCAAGAGTCTTGGGAACCAGCAGTTAGCATAATGGCTATGTTGCTGGACTCCCATGTAGTCGACCGTGGTTCGCGTCCCGGACCCGGTGGCTTAAAACTCAAGCCAGGTGCATGTGCGCCCAAGATCCTGAGAGGAGAATGAAGGAGAAGGGATCTTGGGGAGTGACCATCCCCCCTGGAGGGTGATTTCTCGCTTTCTGTCTCTATGTCTCTGTCTGGCGAGCGCACGTGCCCTATAGTGAAAACCCCTCCAAAAAAAAAAAAAAAAAAAAAAAAGAAGAGCCTCGTGATGTGATGTCATTCAAAGTCAGACACCCTATGGAGACACATTCTGTCCTGCTGTCTGAAGGGCCCACTGTGGCCTTTACCTTCGCTCCCAGCCCCAGCAGCCTCGGGCTCTCACTCTAGTACTTGGCCAGGCACCGAGATTCTAAACTACTGAGTAATTCAGAAGCTGCTGTTGGGTACTGCAGGGCCTGAGCCTCCATGAAGGGTAAGGATGGCCCATGAGGACTTCGTGGACTCATGCCACCTCACCGTGGCCTGGACTTCAGCACAGGCCACAGACTGGCACCCCACCTCTTCACCAGCTACTTCCTACCCAAGGCTGTCCCTGGACCCCCTGCCCTACCTGCATACCTCCCCAGCCCCGGCCATCGGCTCCCGCGGCACCCTGTGCTTACCCGGTGACAACACGAATAATGGCTGTTTATTTTTCATTTGCACCTTCTGTTCTCCCTGTGAAGGCTGGGCAGCACCCAGGGGGCTGCGTGGCACTCCCTGGGTCCCCAGCATCAAGCAGAGCATACCTCAGTGCCCAATAAACCAGGAGGGAAAGGCAGTAGGAACCAGGGCTACAGCCCCACACCCTCCGTTTCTGAGGCCCCCTCCTTTGCTTCAGTGTTAACTTCCTGTCTGACGTTTCTACATTGTAAACATGCTCAAATCCTCAAAGTAGCTGGGCTATACGGTAGGGAGGGAGGTTACGTGAAGAACCTTAGTTGGGCCAGACTGCACCAGCAGGGATGGGTTTCAGGCCACACCCAGAGTCCCAGGCCCCGCTTGGCAGCAGGCCACTCCTCCCACCCCCAGGGCCTACCTTGGCCAGCCGTGCCCGCTTGATTAGGTCATTGAGCTTCCTGAGGGCAGCATTTCGGGGCAGAGACTGGATGTCTTTGAAGAGGTCCTGTTCCTCGGCCTCGAAGAGCTTGCGGTTGTCAGGGATGAGCAGCGGATGGGACCAGAAGGAGCCAATGTAGACCCGGACCACCTCGGGGGTGTTGATGATCTTGCCCAGGGACCACATGAGGGCCCCATACACACGCATCAGCTGCTGCGTCTCGATCTGGTCGGCCTTGTTCAGCACCACACGGATCTTGTCCTCATGGTTCTTCAGGGCCTTGATGACTTCTGAGAACTCATCGGAGATGTCCAGCTTGTGGGCGTCGAAGAGCAGGATGATGCGGTCCACACGCTCGGCGAACCACTCTAGGACAGCCGCAAAGTCGCAGCC